TATTTTAAGTATGACTCTCTGTTAACTTGAAAACATTTTGCTGGCCTAGGTGTACATCACAACCAACATTTCTCACTTTATCTTCAAAGAAAAGTCTTTTCAGAAGCTACGAGTTCCTTTTTCAAACTTTGACTAGAGACCTGGTACATGAATTCATGCACCAGTGGGGTTCCTTGTGGCCTGGAATCGGGGCAAAACCGGCTCTCTGACATCCCCCGAGGGGTCCCTGATTGCGAGATAGTGAAGGCCAGGCTGAAGGACCCCACCGGTGCATGATCAAGGCCAGGGGGGAACATGGGAGGTTGGCCAGCCAGGGAGGGACCGTGGGAGGGCTCCAAGGCACCTGTAGCACCTCTCGCTCAGTCCTGATCAGCCAGACCCCAACAGCAAGCTAACCTACCGGTCAGACCGTCTATCCCCCTGTGGTTAGTACACATCATAGTGACTGGTCTACTGCCTTCCCCCTGGTGGTTAGTGCATCTCATAGCAAGTGGTTGAGCAGCCTTAGCATATAATTAGCATATTATGCTTTGATTGGTTGAACAGCCAACCGGATGACCAGACACTTAGCATATTAGACTTTTATTATATAGGATTAACTAAGACCCATGCTCTCTGCCTCTGGCAACTATAATGTTAAATTTCTAGTCAGTATTTAAAAGGAAATGCAAAAATTTATGTGGAATAGTGAAAGTTGATTTAGAAGCCCCCAAATCATCAAATTAGTCAACACTATTTTAAGACCTAGATGCCAGAACATAGCTCTCAAAACAATCTTTGGAATACCACAGCTGAGTGTGTGTATGGGTAGGTGGGTGGGGGGAGATGATGGAGTCTTCTGCCTGCCTATGAGATTTGCAACATGTGTGTTCATGTATTTTATATGGGTCACTACAGCCGTGCTCTGAATGTGGACTCCACTGGAAGCAAATCATACATATAATTCACACACAAAAAAATTGTATTTGAGATTTATTTTTTTCTTTCTGTCTTAAAAAAAACTTAGCTTTTCTTAAAAAGTGATGTTTCCTTATTTTTGGTGGTTGCTGTATATCGCTTTTTGCTTTGGCTAACGGGAAGTTCATAGCTACATTTTAAGCTTCAGCAGACCATTTATATCCCTTTTTATAAGCCTCTATTGTGTTCTTCTATTCTATGATAAAATATTACCTATTTTTACCTTTTTCCCTTAAACCCTAGTTCTTTTTGCCATTATTCTTTATGGTATATGTTTATGCAAGCTATTTCCTTTGTAGAAAGAGGAGGGTATAGGCCAACAAATAAATATTTCTCTAAGCTGATTTAAATCCTATATCAAAGTAGAATTGCTTTTAAAAAATCATATAAAATCTCTATTGGATTCTTGGTGATTAATTTTCTTACAAGTTGAAAGAGTTTTCATAAAAGCTGGGTACATATCATTGCTACATTTTCAGTGTTAGAAATCTGCTCTGTTTTCTTCCTTCATTTTCACTCCTGCTAAGCCCTTGATAGGTAGAGAGCAGAGTGGTCTTTAGCAGTTCTGAGGGCCATCACAGATAGAAGTCATTTAATCTCCATGTAAACCAAACTCAGCAGCAATATTTAGGGGTCTTCCTTTAAGACAAGGCCTCATGGTAAGTTCCTGTAAGCCATTTTTACTAAGGGAAGCAAATCAACAGTACATATTTCAACAACCTGAGACTACATCTTAAATGTTAGGTTTAATATCTCTGGCAAAGTCGTGCTGTCAAAGAGGTTCAGACATCATCACAGATCCTTTATTCCCATCATCACGACCATAAGAAAATACGTTAAAGAGGATAATTGGCATACGCGCGCCCCCATACACACACACACACACACACACACACCCTGAACACCAGGCATTGCTACACTCAGTGGACTGTAGAAGAATAATCCACTTTAATATTCTTGCTACTCAACAGAGCTCAGTAGAAGTTTCTCTACTTAGTTTTCTCATGAGCCAAAAATAACCCTAATCCTTTCCTGAACATAAGCCGTTTTAAAGTCACCATATTTATTTACAGATTGAAAGAAAATAAAACGAAGGAAGGAATATCTTGGCAGTTACACACGCAGACAAAGCTATGCTGTAACACACCCCCATGCTCACCATATCCCTCAGCGATTTCACTGACAGTCTCTGATGCTACAGGTATATGCTATCTTTATTTCATGAAACTACAATATTTATAAAGAAAAGGAGGGAGCATAGCTTTACAGATTCCTTATCATACTCTAGAACTTAATAGAATAACCACTGAAGCCAAGTAGTAGGACACAGCAGAGATTTTGGGTGTGTGTGCAGATGATTAAGTATGTACTCGGTTACTTTGAGTATATTTTACTCTGTATGTCAGCCACAAGCACCCCACATGTGAAGAGGGCACTGAAGAAACTTGGGAACGGTTATGTCTCAGGAAACTTAATTACCGAATTAGGACTTAGAATGTTAGCTGGGTTGGAAATCCCTTCCCAAAGCTTTAGCATAGCCTTTCTTTGCCTCATTCTTCAGTGCACGTAAAAGAAGTACCATGCTCTTATCAGTCTGTTTTCACGTTGACCCAAAACTATTCTTTAACTTTAG